CTTCTGTGAATGCGGGCGGAATTAACAGCAAGAGATCCTTTTCGACTAAGGATTCCTGAATTCTACTCACCTATTTCTTTTTTATTTGTTCATTTCATTATTCAACTCTTTAATCATTACTATTTATGCACAATGACAGTAACTCCACCAAACGAAGCGCTGGTTAATTTTGACTTTTTTCTGAAACTTTCACAAGAAAAAATCCTTTCAAAAATTTCATTTCCAGGTGTGAAAATGGTGGTATGTGCGCATTCTCTTTCGACAATCCACATTTACATACATGCATTTGTTTGATGGGTGTGTACGAAGGCGAACGATGTCAATACGAAGGTTATTTTTTATTTATTTAGTTGTTTACTCAAACTTAGTTGTTTATGACCCATAGAAAAGCTTGCTATTTCTCTGTTTCTCTACGGCTCAGGTGGATACACAAGATTCTCATAAATCTTGGGGCGAAGGAGCACAAATCACTAAGTTCAGAGAAATTTTTCGCATTGCTGTTTTCGATTTTTGTGCACTTCCAGGCTGTTTACCTCCCCCCTCCCCCTTCCCAACACCTGATATTTTTTACCCTCAGTGTGAGGTGGTCTGTCAGGAAGTGACTCATGACTGGCTGAACTTTAACTGTTTACGAATAAATTTGTGACAGCTGTCTTAACCAACACTTTTCATTGCCAGTCTCGAAATAACTAGTGGTTACCAATTCACCTGCATTGCGCCACGCATTCGACTCGTGCTTGGAAAATCAGTGAGAGTCCACGATCAAAAACTCTTTTCGCGAAGGTGAAGACCATCTCTCCCTACTCCCTCCACCGACCAAATTTGATCCCCCTCTAGGGATCACCACCTTGATATGTTCCCAATCCCGAAACAACTTTCTTGCGGCTCGGAAAATTTTCATTAAGCCCAGATAGGATCACTGTCCAGCGACCAAGTACAAGACTCTGTTGGCATCCTCCCAACGATGCTGTCCCTTGTATGTCCCCTATTTCACCCATAGGATCAGCGCGAAATGAACCTTGAAAACGAGTGGGAGCAGATTGATATGGAAAGGGTGGAGAACGTTATGTGCGTGGGAGTGTTTGTAAATACTTATGAACTGAGCAGTTGTGAGGCAGTACAACTTATCGTTGCAGCGGGACCGTCCTATTTCCATGAAATTTCAAGTGTTTCATTTTCAGTTGGAGTTCCCCGGACGGTTGTGCAACAGACGCAGCAAATGCCACCTCCACCGCATCCAACTCCAGGTGAGTCATCTCTATCAAAGACAAACTGTACACTCATTTTCGTGGATCCTAGTGATTGCCGTTTGTGAGGTGAAGATGGTCCGCAGCTGCATTAGCGTGCCTCTCCAGTCTAAGTGCGCGGAAATGAGGTGTGGGAGGGAAGGGGCGTAGGGCAGACGTGGGTGCCGTCTCCATACACGCTTAACCATAGCCAAGCGCGTTACTTGTCTGCGCCATCTCAATTCTGGTTGTTCTCTACCGCTGAGTCCCTGTTTCGCAGCGGGACCTTGATAACGACGCAAATAGTGCACCTTGACATTCACCGTTAAATTCCAGCGTCGGCGCCAAAAATGGACGCTCAGTGCTACTACTTGCGTGCGGACTAGACCAGTATCCCTCGAATCGTGATACGCCTTATTGTCGATGGTTGGTCGGAGGTGTATACACCCCTTCCCCCCCCCCTTGCGTTTGACGGCAAAATTTTGCGGAAAAATTGGAAAAATTCTTGAAAAAGTGCCAAGTTGGAAAATTTGGGAGATGACTTGATAGCATGGTTGAAGGTGCGTTGTACCGAAGGCAAATGTCTGGAAGGGGGAGGGGGGCTTGTTCAATACCGTCTTATCTCCCGTGCTTATGCCGTATCGGGGGGGGGAGGGAGAGGGGTGGGGAGGGGAGAATTCGGGGTTGGAGGGATTACACTACCCAAGACCGCCATTTTATTTATACCGATACTGTTTCTCGGGTATAACAGTTGAGCGAAAAACCCATAGTCTACAGCACCGGCGCTTTTTTCTATAGGCTGAATAGCCAGTATGCGCAAGGCCATCATTTCTAGTATCAGACCTTTCAGTGGTCGAATACGACATAAGGCGGATGGAAATTGAACGGCAACGAGAAGAGCAACGACGTCAACTTATGAACGGCGAATAGAGGCTGAGCGGCGACAGGAGGCTGAGCGACGGCAAGAGGCCGAGCGACGACAGGAGGCCGAACGACGACAGGATGCCGAGCGACGATTGGAGGCCGAGCGGCGAATGGAGGCCGAGCGACGGCGAATCGAAGAAGGACGGCGTGTTAGCATGATGCCAACCAGAAATCCCGTTGAAAGAACTATCGATTGAGGTAACTAAGACAGTCGAGATGAAGCAATCTTCGTCAGAATTGCCGCCAGAAACGTGAGGAGGAATCGTTCGTCGAGAGCAAGAGCAGCGTGTTGCGAGACAGGACACTACGGTCGTCAGTTACGGTCCCAAGATGGAGAAACCACATTCGTGAGTGCGGAACCAACGACTGTGCAGCTGAAGGCAGAACAGAGAAGATGGCAGCGATGATATAGGACGCGGAGCAAGCGAAATGGCACGACGCTTGGGGGAATGGAGGTAGATACGACGACTAATTGGACAAGATGACGATTTTGTACCGCCAGACACAGGCGACTGGGAGTACAAGAGCGAAGAGGGTGAGCTAAATCATGATTTTTTCCCTTTTATTTTCCAATTTTTCTCTAAATTTAGCCGAGGACAAAGTACAGGACTACCTGCCCGAGGGCCAAGAAGTAGAAGAGATGGAAGAAACTGTGACAGAAAAGCATGGCACCATGGATGATGAACATGAGCCGATGCATGACGGTAAGATTCTTACTGTTACAGAACAAAAATATAATTAGATAAATAATATATGGCGAATCGAAGTGCGCATGTTTGGCTTTGATGGCGGCATCAAATATTGCTGAGGCCTAGCCTGCAACGCGGCCGTTCTTGTGAAAACCTGAGACTTCCTGTCAAAAGTGCCAGACAGAAGGGATCCACTCGCGCTATTTCGCAGTTTGACAAGAGCTCGCAGGTCTCAACAGAGTTTTGGTAGGTTCACTTGAACGAAATGAGATCTGTTATTTAACATGAATTCACAAGGATTTAGTGAAAGTGCAAAATGCCCCTCCAAGCCGAGCAGCGCTAAATAAACAAGTAACTAGCTATCAGTGCAGTTATGATGAAAAGTAATGTTACGGTGATGGAAATCGCGATTATTCCCTTGAAATGCACGGTCCACGCTTGTCAGAGTGGGCAGAGTCAGACCTACCACGGGACCTTCCTCATTGGTGCAACTCTCCCTTCAAGGCGAATAAGGAGAGGAGCCAACCAATAGGAAAGGAACAATGGGTGGCTGTCTCCGCCCCTTCGATCAGGCTAAATTGTATCTTCGACGCGAGCTGTAATTGTATCGTTTCTGAATAACATAGAAACACTTCAGAAATGGACACAAGTACCTTACCCGAAGGTGCAAGTACCTTACCCGAAGGTGCTATTACAGAGCAAACGAAGGAGGAGGAGAATATCGATGACACCAGCATGGCAGGAGCGCTGAGCGGAATCACAAAGGTAATCGAAGGAGCTGCCGATAAGACAGTGAAGGTCCATTCGCTCGACATCGATCTCGATCGGTTAGTGCAGGAAACCTATTTACAGATTTATCTTTTTAAATATTTGGAAACCTAAAGGCACATTCCACGCTGGTCGTGTGGGTGGGGTCGGGCCTCATATCTTCACTTTGTGCCCACCGCATGTTCACTAAAGCCTGAAACTGTTGTGTCTTACTCATTGATACATCCTGTTTCTTGTTGTCTCAGGGAAGAGGGGCACACCAATGTGGAAAACACAAGACACAACGGGGTAGGCCGATATCCACCCACGCAGCCAACGTGGAATGTGTTTTCAGCATTTCTTTCCTGAAATGTTAGTTTTCAATTGTTGACTGTGTGGCATTAAGTGGCAATAAGCCAACGTTTCCACAGTCTTCAAACATGGTATACGAGATAAGCTCAAATTTGAAAGTTGGAGCTTGTGGATGGTGAGTTGCCTTCTTAGACACGCCCCGGATTGCTCCGCCCACAGCAAACCCTAGTTCTGCTCTTGATGTCTATTTTTTCAAATACGGTCATCGCGCCTTGTCTACTGAGAAATGAAGAGGTTTACATAATGGAGTGAGAATACATCAGGAGGTGGCCACTATTCCCCATAATTCTTAGCGGAACGTTCACCTTGAGGGATAAATGATGGTCTGGGCCACGAGGGCTACGACTCTAACACTTAACTTTTTCACAATGCCTTCAATGAATTTTGAGGTCATAATACCTCAAAGAAAGTGTAATAATAATGACTGCTGATTATAAGAATGAAAGAAGTCGGTTCACGGGTTTCACGGATATAACCCGTGAATGAAACATTCGTGGGTTATATCCTTTTATTGACATAGGGACCACTATCCAATTGTTACTATCCCATCTTCCGACATCAGACCAGTTTTACCATCGAGCTTTTTAAGAAAAAGGCTGAAAATTTTGTTCCCAGACCTTCAACCTCCGAACACGAATATCGCATCGCTTGGCCAGGAATTGCCTGGCACTAACGCCACGGTCCCACGGCTCAAGCTTTGCGCTCCAATCGCTATGGAGAGCGCGTCCTTCGCGCCCGACGTACTCGTCCAAGACTGCTGAGGTGAAGTCTGTGTTTAAGGTGTTCCCGAGGTTTTTTCGCTTCTTTTTCTACTGAGGAGCTACCTATGGGATACTGGTTCATGACGGAGCACCAACTACCCGCAACACTTGATCGCGGGAATTGTCTTTAAACAAATCGTAGCAGTCTAACATTTGGAGTGGTGAGGGGAGGGGGGGGGGTGGCATTCAAGGCTCTGTGCACAAATGGGCGAAATCATTTAAATTGCCGTACGTCCTTCGAACTTGTTCACCATCCCAGAAGCTGCTCACCAGGATTGGTTGGTTCAAGCTTACAAAGGGGTCTTTGAGGTTATGGAGCGCTTTCTCGAAACGAAATGAATGTAGGGGTACGAATCAGCTTTCTCCTGTGATTTTTCACTTCCTTTTCTATGAACTGCCCTTCTAAGATTACAATAACCGCCTAAAATTCCGAGAAGTGCTAAGTGTCACTAGAGGTCTCCTTGCATGCACGTGGGCATTCCCTTCCCGACGTCAAGAGGACTCTGGAAGATGCTAAGCCACTGTAAAGAAAATTACTACATCTTGGCACTTGTAAACTCTCGTGAAGCTGCAAGATGCTGCCGAAAGAGCCACTTTGACTGCAAGAATTTACAAAGTAGCCTGAGTGCTCTTCGGCACCCCCACGAAGCCGCATTGCGAATCGAAAAAATAGGCCATTCCACGACCAATTTTTCTTACTTTGTTAGCTATTTCCCCCGCAGTTTCCGATGTGAATTTTGCAATAAAAACGATGAGTTCAAGCCAAACGTCCGTCCTCTGAAGGGAACGATTGGTCCTTATCCCTTGGTAGTGCCCTTTCGATGACAGATTATTCCCTCATAAATTCTTGATAAGATAAGAGCATCAATAACTCTGTTGCAGTGCCGAAGACGACGACTACTGGGATCATTCAATCAAACGAGAGGATGAAGACTATGAAGCTCCAAAGGTTGCCGAGTCAAATGAGCAAAGCGATCTCACGCCAGGTAGGTACTTTGGAGCAATTGTGACTACCTAACGTCGTTGAATGGCATTGAACTATACAGCTGCGGAAAAACTTTTAACAAGTAACAAAATCGCGTTTCACAATTCTAAACAGCAATACACGGAAAGGTGAGCAGATAGCGAGAATTCACTCGGAAAAAACTATAGACAGCGTCCTGAATTCTGTTTCCTTACTAATGGATTTGATTGGAGCCTTAATCATCCATGGAATCGACTCCACAGGAGC